AAAAGCAATAGGGATGGCCTCATTTTTACCATGAACGTTAACTGAACAGTCTACGAAAGATTTCTTTCGAAAAAATCTTTACAGAGAACAGCACGAGTTTGCCGTTGTAAATTCGTGAAGAACAAATAAAAATTCTATATACTAACACTCTTCGCTTTTTCTCATGTCTAAACTCAAAGACGTTTGACCACACCGAGAGAGCAAGTCGTAAAATACTGGGAAAAGATTCTCCCAGTCTCGTGGGCAGCTTTTTACGAAGACACGTGAACGAGCGGTACGGGTCTATTAACACGGTTTCATCGTCGACACAAATCTTTCATTTCAGTGGAAAAAGTAAGCTGGCGGTAGCAACAGGCACGTGCTGATGCACAATAAGAAAAAAAAAGATGTCTCAATATGTAACATTCGAATTCCCACTAACTTACGACTTATATCACCCGTGTATCATCGAGAAACGATACGTTAAGCATTCCACAGAAGGCAGGAAAACACGGAATCGTTCTGTACTCGTGGCACATTCACACATACTAGCAACGACGTTTTCTTCAGTTACAGTTACGTGCAAACGAATAACAACTACACGTTTGAGCTTCTATCTCGCGTGCCGGCTACAAATAAACCAGCCACGATAACTGCGTTCGCCTATTTCGCTAAATAAACAAAACTGTCTCCTGGCAGCTGGCACGCGTCGCCTCGCTTCTCCAGCAAAGGCGGAGAAAGTTTCGCGCTTCGAGCAGTCCTATTTGCAGGCTGAATCGTGTGTATGTACCGATGTGTTGTGTTCCTGTGTGCGTCTACGGCGTGAGTACGTTTGTGTGCGTGTCACGGTTAACAGAATCGAGGGACGACTAATGGCGAAACGCTTCTTCCTTCCCATCGCGATGGACAGGAGGAGAGCAACACGGCATTGCGCGCGCCAGTTCGCGTCGTCGGTTACGCGACGCTGCAGCTAACGACCTGGATAACCAACCGTGATGTTTCCAAAGTAACGTCATCATTCGCCGCGATGCGACACGAGGCGACGAGTCTGGCGACGGAGTTGCTCATTACAACTTCCGGTCCAGGAGAGCGAGCCAGAAAGAGAGCAGTCGGTGAAAGAGAGAGAGAGAGAGAGAGAGAGAGAGAGAGAGAGAGAGAGAGAGAGAGAGAGAAGGCGAGGAGACAGAGATCGCCAAGTATCATGGTGGGGAGAAGAGAATCAGCAGTACGACGGACCGACTGGCCGAGGGAATGAAACAGAGAGCATAAGCACGAGGAAGATGGATAGAGAGGAGAGAGAGAAAGAGAGAGAGAGAAGGAACGAGAATCGAGCGAAAATGCTCAACAAATAGCCACATCCTCATAATAGAACGGCGTATCAAACTCATTAGACGTCGTTATTGAATCGACACGATTACGTTCCACAGAAAGATCGGATCTTCCCGTTAAAACTGAATGATCGATTCAGACGGAACATCGCGACGCATACGCGTATGAGGCATGACATCGAGAAATCGGTGTATATGCATACACTAGGAATCATGCTGCGCACGTCGAGAGATTTAGGCGTTCGAGAATACGGGAACCCAGTCGGGTTATAGCAATGATTCATGCCAGGTATGTTAAACTGGTTCCGAGACGGGTTGCAGCCACTGGAAAAAAGAATCGAGGCCCGATCTCTACGAGACACAATGCAACGTTAGAGAGAAAACGGACTCTATAGACATATGTAAGTAAATCCATAACCCTGGCGGCTCCGCTGTCGGCGAAGGGTGGAGTGGACTTGGAAAGCAGGAAGCGAACAGATTTTGTATAAGGAAAGAAAATGATAATTCACGACTATTAAATCGAACCTGTTTGAGGAAAATGATCGAAAACGTTATCAACGAATGCAACAATCGCATTAAAATTTCTTCGTCTCATGTTTTACATTTTATGAGATAATTTCCTCTATGATAAAGTATCTACAATAAGTTTCAAATAAACGGTACTCTGTATTTTATTATAGATATAATTTTGCTTCTAATCGATTGCTCAAGTGTGTTAGTTAATTTGAAAAATATCAACAACTAATTTCACATCGTAAAAATATCGAACTCGTATAATAAATGAAAATCGATTTAAAGGAAGTACGGTAATCGACCGATGAATCCGTATGTTAAATATTACTACGCAGAAGCATTGAGTACTCGCATGCGTTTCGGTCGCACGACACATCAGTGGTTCTCAAAACGATAGATTGCGGTATGGAAAGAGGATGCGAGGAAGCCTGACCAAACGGAAGAGACGATAAGCACGTACGGAAATCTGTAGCGGGTTCTGAATTTAAAACACGAACAGTCTTGACACCGTTCTAAGTGTCCGAGTCTAATGTTATTGGACGGTCAATATTAGCGCGCCTTACTGTGTGATGACCGACAAGCACCATACGGCTTCCTTTTACACGCCATCGTTTTCCCTCCTATCGGGGAATGCTTTAGGCATCGCTAGAACGACGCCGTTGCCAGGTATATTATATTAAGATATAATAAAACATTATTGATCAGATATCGGGACTAAACGATTCTTCTCGCGAATTATAACAAAATGATGTCTATATACACGAAACATTGAACTCGACTGAAAAATAAAGAATACGCACGCTCCGTTTGACTTATCGATTCCTATAATCATCATAATCGACGATGAATATTATGCGATGTTAAAGAATTATAATAAATAGAAATATACCGTGTAGAAAAACTTAAATATAAGTGGAATTTATTTTTTTATAACGTAAAATTTAAAAATTCAATGGATGTATAATAAAACCAGGATCTGGCAAATATCCAATTATAAATTTACAAAAGTATATCACCCGAAGTATATTGCGTGCGCATGTATGTACATGACGACAGATGCGGTGGCGGTGCCGAGAGCGAGGTATAGATGATCGATCTATGGCACGTGCTATCAGTAGATGTGCTTCTTCCGCGTATATTTACAACAGTTTTGTATTTTATCAAATTTGTAGTTCAAAATATTATCCATGAATAAAAAGTATAATGTATTTTTATTTTTTTTCTTCTCATCTTTTCAAATTTCAAAGAAGAATGTACACATACAAATGAATATGATTGAAAGACAAAAAAAAAATTATTTTAATCTTGATAAAAATATGAATTTTACGAGCGATAGATAAAAGATAGGCCAGAGGCATCGTATGATTGCAATCGAAGTTACGCGATTATTTATCACGTGCACGATCACAGACGTTAAGATTTAAATGGCAAGCCACGTGGCGCCACACAGCGGCCATTCCAGGTTTTCTCAATTTCGAAACATGCCATGGAATAAACGTACGTATCGTTGTGTATTGTATTATGTTCTGATAGTATGGTTTGGATCGTTTAATAGAAGCAACTGTTTTGCTATTCAATGGAAAGATTATCTTTTCACGATGCACGTTTGTAGAAAGAATACAAACACGTTCGTTAGATATAACTCTTTTCCACGCTAAAAAGATCTCTTTACGTCTCGTGTGCTCAATGAAACGAGGATTATAAAAAACGAAAAATGTCATTTCACGTCGCTTAGAATGGCCGAAACGAAAGACGCAAGTTATTGACCATGACTTACCGCTGGATATTGAATACAAAAAGGTCGGAAGTAGGTGTGTATCGTCCGTGTCACGTACATGTATGTTATTTTTATTTGTAACCAACTGTGCTTTGACATTTGGAAGCGAGAAAAGTGTTCGTAAAAACTTCCACCCTAATGTTTTGTTTGAAATTTCCTAAGTTTAACGGTCGTCGACGTTTTGTGTCCTCTGGTGTGAGGTTAGTCTTCAATTATCGTAAACATTATTAAATCGCGACATTACAAAATAACAATAATTACTATTTAATTTACATTTAATAAATTATATATCTAATCCAAGTAATAAGATTGAATATAAATAATTAATATATAAGTAATTTTTTATAATATAAATAATAATTGATATGAATAAACTATTTTAAACATTTATTTGTTATTTATCATAATACACCCATCAATGTATATAAATTTGTAAATGCATTATCATATTCCGACAAAGCATAGCTATTTTTAATACTTTCTTGGAAATTTAAGTATAAAAAAATAAGAATATGGTATGCTAGTTGTGATAGGGATAAAAGAATAAATTCGATTTTATTGTTCCAAGAAACGCCTTCATGCTAGTGAAGGTTATAAAAATGTCATCAGTTTTGAACATTGAACGAGATGCATAAACATTTTTCTATTTATGAGACCTGATATATCATTATAAATGTAATAAAATTTCCTTTATTATTTTTTTTTAATGCATATTACAAATCAAGACAAACACAAGGTGTAAACTGATCATAAAGGTAATTAACGAACGACCACGACCTACGACAGGGTTCACTGCACGATGTTCCACGAGCTTCCAAACAAATTTGCTTTTCGAAGTTAGATTGGTTTAATTGCACCATTACTTGATACCACGTTTCTCGCGCCACGCTCACGCTCGTGCCAATGAACTGTCAGTGGTGCTATACGCGACAGATTCCGGTAACAAGGAATGCAAAATAACGTACTACGTAAATTCAACTTATATAAATGTAGCGATATATTGTTATTAGAACATATTTTCATGATATTTTCAATTAATGTGTTGATATTTATCAAACGGTTTTTGAAAAATATTTTACGTTTATCACGTATAAATTATTTGTACGATTTTTCAATATTTATAAGACTTATATCGACGAAAGATATACGAGAAATATCTTTGTTGATGCGCAATTCGAATAATTTCAAGCCTTAGGTTAAGTTGTACACGATACACATTTATCAAGTCACGAAGTTTACTTTTCGACTATAAAATTTATCATCTGCCGATAAATGATTATCAATTCTCGAGAATGTTTCGCATTTAAAAACGTATCGATGATTCTATACGGGAAAGAAGGTTAGATGACCGTGAGAAGTAAATCCGCGAATACATAAGAAGTCGAGGTTATGTTCGCGCTTACCTTGTCGGCCGACGATCTCTGCCACGTGCTCGCTGCTAGGCACCGGCACGCATTCGGTCATGTTCTGGCTCTTCTTAGAACGTGCTTCCTCGAAAACGCCTGCCGGTGTCGTTTGCAAAGGATCCGGATCGTTGGCCGTTCCGGTGCCGGTTCCTGTACCAGTGCCCGGACATCCGGGAGTACCCTCGAGACCAAGCATAGATAATTCTAACGCCAATTGTAAAGCTCTCTGGTCTTCGAGGGAAGCGGTTCCACCGCCATTAGCTCCGCGATCCATTTCGCTGAACAAACTCGTCGGCATATCGCTCGATTAAATATCGCGTTGTGTCGCACCGGCAACTGTGTCGCAACTGTATATATGTGAATACGTTCGCACAGATAGTAAATCACAGTATCTTTATTCACCGATTTTCACTATTTTTCCTTTGATAATAATAGTCTTTCTTCACAGCCCGTGTCTTTTTTTTTTCTTTTCCTTACGTACGTTGTTCTAGAATGACTTGTCGATAATCAAAGGTTAAACCGTATCGAACAGAGAGGTGTTTCTCACGATAAAGTCTAACTCGAACGATCGAAAAACAACGAAACACACGCGCGCGCGAGTCCACACCACACACACTAGATTATTTAGGACGAGAACTACAGTGCCGCTACACCAAGAGACTGAGCGATCTACTCTTCTCGTGCGCGGTCACGGGGAAATGTATGTAGGAAAAACAACGATGCACCGTACAAAAATAAAATCGTCGCTTCGCCGGTGATCGTTTCTGTCTTCTTCCTTTTTCGTCCAGTCCTCTGTGCGCGCGTGTGTACGAGGAACGCACGACGTGAGTGTTGTTCGTACACTGAAAATGTGTGGGCTACTACTCGTCGTAATCTCGTGTCCACAATCGCACGTCCTTTTCTTGTCGATCAGTCTCTCACTCGCGCGCTTTCTTTCACCGCGTGTAAAGCCGTGCTATGAAAATGGCCTTCTCGATATTCGCACTGGTTGGAACTGTTCGTAGAGATTCGTGTTTTTAAGAACACGACTTGTAACCGTCAAAGTCGTCGCTCGCGATGTTCGTATTTCTTCTTTTTTCTTTGTTCGCGTATCTGTTTCAACTGATACAATTTCGTTCGTTCGTCTTCTCTTCTGTTTCTCTCTGTTTCGTTCGCTCTCGTTCTCCCCTTCGACGGAACGGCGTAACGTAACGTAACGTAACGGCGCGTATATCACGTTTGGGAGCTTCGTCACCGACCGACTGACTAAAGCGTCCGAGAGCGTCGTCGCGCGACTGAAGCACTGAAAACGGAGGCAAGGGGCGCCGCGCTCTCTCTTTCGTTCCTTCTTTCTCTCTTTATCTTGCACGCTCACTTGCGTTCTCTCTCTTTCTCGCTCTCTCCCCCTCACCACGATCTTTCCTTTCGAAGGCAAGCGCGTGCAACTACCCTCTCGCTCGTGTTACCACTGCGACTGACTGCGACGTACTGCGACTGCGGGTGCTAAAGCCGGTGCGCCGCCATGTGCCGGACGCCGGCTATGCGTCTCGGTGATTGGTCATGACGGTCACGTGGCACCGTACCACCCCTCCCCACTACTATTCGTCACCGGCGCACGAAGTACGAGCGCACCTACCAGCTGAGAGCGCCACACTTCGTTCGCCTCCGGATACGGGCGCGTGCACTCGTCCCTACCGGCTTGCAACCCCCTCCGTGTTACCGCTCGTGCTCTTGCCTTTTCGCGAAGTTTCCCTATGGATCCACGTTAAAGCACCGGCTGCACCACCGATTTTCAACAACGCTGATTGCGAGCCCGGGGCTGCCTGGGATTGTAGCTCCATCTCTTCGCGATAACACGAAATGTCACGATCAGGGGATGCACTTTCATTCCGTCGATGCAATTTCAGTTAATTTAATTACTCACCGTCAATATTTCTACCTTCAGCTTTGTTGTTTGATTGCAATTTTAATTAACGATAATAAAAAGGTTTCTTTTACAGCTCTATTTTTTATTTAAACTACTCAGTTTGAAGTTCGTTTATTTTTCTTTCCCTTTCCCCACTTTTAATTAGAAAATACATCAATGAAATTTATAATTTAGGGAAAAATTTAACAAATACGAACGAAAAATACGTGCTAGTGTGTTTCGATACAACGACTCGTTTTAAACCATTATAGTGGTAACAGTGTATTTTCTAGGAATATTCGTTGTATGCATCGTACCGTTCACGGTTAACCTCGCGAAGCAACACCCTTTCCTATCCGCAGTCCCGTCAACGACCTCTGTCTGCATATAGGGTGCCTAACAAACGCATTCGTCGGTACTCTTTTTCGTGGTGCGTGTAGTCACTGCAGCACATCGGCGAAAGGAAATGCAACAGGAAGGAAATTTACGACTCTCGAGAAATAATAGCAAGGTATCGTTCGAGTCGTAAACCGTAGTTGGATCGTTTGAGACTCCTATCACGCCGTAAATTAGATACGACGTCAAGAGTAGTTCAAAGGAAATCTCAGCTACTCCTAGGTACCGATATAAAAGTGAGATTCTTCTTAAAAAATCACCATTTTATATGATTTAATTACCTATTTTTACACGAATTTTACAATTATTATTTGTTCCATCAATTTTTACTCATCTTATCGATAATCATTAATCAAATCAAAACGCATATATTATAAAATTAAATATGGTAAACGAATATTCCTTATGAGACCAAATATCCATTAAAATATTTTGATCACGTCCGATTCAAGAAAGATGCAGAAGTTCTGTTTTTATCCGTTTTAATACGATCGAATTTCGCGATATAATAAATTTATACAGTATCGCCGATGAAACGAGAAAAACAGAGTTTTTTATTGCGATCGATATTCCACGAGCACACCGCCAAACAAGTTTCTGTTGAAATGTCTTAGCACAACGTTCGTGCACAGTGCACTGCGCTATAGTCTGCGCATTACACCGTGGAATGGTTAACTTTCCGTAATCGAGGTATCAAGAATATCTACACTCTGAATCGGTTAAGCTAGGTTAAGTTCCGCCGATCTATCGTCCTTGAACTCCAACGCCAATGATCCCATAGACTATGCAGGAATTCATTCTTAATGTGGGGTTCGCAGATCAATGCTACAATTTTCAAGATTGCAATTTGTAATTAATTGAAGCGTAAAAAAGAAAGAAAGAAGAAATAAATCGCAAAAAAAAAAAAAATAGAAAAAGAGATCATTAATTAACTCGTAAAAAAAAACTTATTAAAATTCTTCTCTCGAATTAAAAAAAAAAAGAAAAAAAATAATTATTAAGCGCGATGAAGTGTACACCTTAATAAAAGAACATTTATTTTGATACTTCTTAAAGATGCGCCGCGATAAATTTTTAAGAGGAACCAGTTCGCCACATAATATAAAAACGGATGTAAGAAGCTGTCCACCTCCTTTCTACTAATTGTCAAAAGTCAACCCGATACGAGGAGGACGAGTAATCGCTTCATCGATATCTTCAATCTCTTAATCCGCAAATCATGCAGTTGCCACCTGCACGATCCTATGTATATATTTGCTAACGACGAAACGGGGGATTCGATCTAAACTGATTTCTAAATGCACCCGTTTGGACCTTGAACCGAGGTGCAACCGTGTTCCATTGTTCTCTGCCGACGACCCTTCGTCCTCTCCCCAGACCGACCGATTGCTCGATTTTTAGTCGGGCCTGCACACACGATCGGGACTATGTCCTCCGTCTCGTCGAGGACAGACGACGATGCGCACGAGAATAATTCCAGAATATTGAAAACTTTCATTAGCTTAAATTTTATTGGTTTAACGTATTTTACTATTAATTTTATCGATATTCGATTTTATTCGGGATATAAAAAATAAAAAGTTGATAATATTTATTTTGAAGAATTTCAAACAAAAATTTAATCGTTTCTTTTACGTAGTTGTAGAAATATTTACGTGTATTAAAGTTCCACAAGTATGAATGAAAGAAAAGATCAAAAATTGATATATCATATTGATATATCTATTCTTTAAATTTTTTCGCTTCGTTGAAATTAATAATAAATAATAATTTTAAATGATATTACCTATACGATGTTAAGAAAGGATTATAACGTAACATACGAGAAAGTTGATTGCATTTTATTGGCGTGCCTGGTGTATGTAACTCTTTTATTATTACTATAAAGTAGCAAGTTACAAGATTGTAAATTGAATAAAAGTACAAAAAGTGTGGATTCGTATAATCACGAATGCACAGAAATATTGCACAGAAAATAAAAAAAAAATATTATTTCTTTTACTGAAAGTCAACGTGATTCAACAATAATGCTCAATAAAACGCAGATTAAACGACAAGTGTCAACAAAATCTTTGGACAATAAACCTTTTCTTTTTATACTTTCCTTTTCTATTTTCTCAAAGCAAAAAAAGAATCCGCATACAATTGCTTAGATACCAACCAAACCAAACCATTATCCTTAAAATCCATTTATTCGTTGAAACTTAAATAAAATTATACAGTACTTAAAATGAGTATACATTAGACAAAATGGCAAAAATCTCAAGGTTTTTCAAAATCATTGCCAGTCGTTCAAATTTATGGTGAAAAGGAAAAAAAGAAAAAGAAATTTCTCGCCAAACCTTCGGCAAAAGCGACTAATTTTGTTTCTCATCGTTTGCCGAAAGCAACGACCCGTTGCTCTCTCAAGGCTGTCTCGGGACGCCACCTTTTGCCATGAGCACCTGCCGACTTCTGCCGAGCTCGTGCTCTCCCATGCTCGCTCGTAAATACTTGCAACTTGTCCTGTAAAACGTTGTTTTCCGAAACTTTTGCTCGCATTCGCTCATTTTTATCACGGCCAACGATTACAAGGGGGACGAGCTGATCGACGAACGAGCAACGATTTACCCGTCATACCCCGAAGGGGTGGTTTCTCCCGACATATGCGCGCCTTCTGTACACGAAACACGAGCGTGAAAGTATCGTGTTCGTGCACGTGCCCGTTCGTCGAATTAATTTAGTGATCGCCGCATAATCAGTTGGAGTAATTGATGATGGATATAATTTTGATGTAATTATGGCCGGAGGGAAAACGTTCGCGCTTATCCTCTTCCAGGATGCTACAAGAATCGAACACGACGTATTGACGATTGTAGGTTGGAATTGGCGCGGGAAGACGAGCGAAGGGTTTGCAGCCCTTGAAAGCCAGTGAAATTAAATGAAGATAGTCAAGAGGTGTATGAGGAATGTAATATACGTAATGCACCGGTTGTGCATTGTCTCGTAATTGGAAATGGATGTAGATAAATTGAATTATTTCGGATTCTGCTCGTTCCGCTCCTAGTGCATATTTTATTGTTGATTTAACGAGTGAGTGAATTGGAATAAAATCGTGTGATTCTGAAATAAATACAATAAAATGATAATTTTATAAGAATTTTTAACTAAATATTTCGAAACAAAAGAGCATCCATATTAGGAATGGATGTATGATTATTACTTTTTATTCACATCAAAGAACAGGTGTCGTATTATTAACTCCCTTAATTTCGATAACTATATATTACTCTTGAGTTATTTACAAAATCGATTAAAACGGACGTGAAATAATCAGGTTTCGATCACAGCTTAGAAAATTTTAACGAGATGAATCGGTTAATATCGTCTCCCATCGCTTGAAAACCGAATCGAAGTATCCACAATTCACGAAGAAGCTAAATTACTGCAATCTGGAGGTAGTAATTTAAAATTTTAAAAAGCGACCGGAGAAATAGCGAACTGGATCAGCTGCGAATCCTCGCTGCGCAACCTCCTCCGATGCTGCCCACGTTGCCTCGCGTTTTCGTGGCTACCATTTTCACAAGTCTCTACCGGTTGTTCTGCAACGAACGACCGAAGAAAGCGCAGCCCCGAGAGGAGATGTTGCAACACGATACTGCCGTGACCGAACACCAGCCACACCGTGCGTGGCTCTTAATGTCGCGGCTTATTACGAGCAATAACGATCCACTGTATGCTACATTTATATCTTATCAGACCCGATGTTATGCATCACGCGCCCCATAATATCATACTTTTAAAAACGTGTTTCTTTATGCGGCGGAAAGTCGAGCCCCACGAGCTCGATTCTCCAATCCTCTCGAATCCTATCAACATCCACCAAACGATAGATTACAGGCGTTCCCAAAACACCGCTATCGTTTCAACAGATTTCCATCTTCGTGCGACCCTCCGTAATTACGGTAACGAACAACAGCACCCCGACGGATGTCGAGAAACGGAACGGTATTCATTCCATCCAGCGAGAAAGAAAGAGAGAACGAAAAAAGAAATCTAAAATAGGGAAGGTTCTCCCCGGAAAACGTACATCCTTAA